TCTGCATTCCTAACATTATTTGATTTGGTGTTAGACATTGCCCATTGTAACTCATTGAGTGTTGGGCTTTTTGCATTTTGTGTTAAAATTGGTTTAGCATTGTTTGGTATTCAGTAAAATTACTTAGAAACAGTTTGCTTCTTTTCAAGCTGACTTTTTAATTTTTTTAGGCAGGATAAGAGCAGCTATTAGTCAGTGGCTATTTTTTAATCCACTATGGAGGCAATATGCCTTTTTTTTCTTTTGAGACTGAGTTTCGCTCGTTACCCACGAGGCCGGAGTGCAATGGCTCTATCTCGGCTCACCGCAACCTGCGTCTCCTGGGTTCAGGCAATTCTTACATCTCAGCCTCCTGAGTAGCTGGGACTACAGGCTGTGCCACCACGCCCAGCAAATTTTCGTATTTTTAGTAGAGACGATGTTTCACCATGTTGACCAGGATGGTCTCGACCTGTTGACCTCGTGATCCACCCGCTTCTGCCACCCAAAGTGCTCGGATTATAGGCGTGAGCCACCGCGCCCGGCCTGCAATATGCCTTTTTAAAGAAAAGATCTTATTTTTTAGAGTAATTTCAGATTGATAGCAACATTTGAACAGGAGGCACACAAAGTTTCCATATACCACTTACCTCTATGCGTGCGTAACCTCCTAGACTATCAACATCTCTCTCCGGAAAGGTACATTTATTACAATTGATGAACTTATGCTTGCATGCTATTATCACCCAAAGTCCATGGTTTACACTGGGGGCAATACTCTTTTGCATATTCTAAGCCAGTGATCTCCAACAATTTTGGCACCAGGGACTGGTCACCTGGAAGACAATTTTTCCACAGATGTGTCGGGAGTAGTGTGGTAGGGGTGGGGGTGATGGTTTCAGTATGAAACTTTCACGTCCGATCATCAGTCATTAGCTAGAGTCTCATAAGGAACATGCAACCTAGATCTGTCGTGCAGCCTAGACCTCTTGCATGTACAGGTCACAATAGGGTTTGTGCTCCAATGAGAATCTAATGCCATTGCTGACCTGACAGTAGGTGGAGCTCAGGCCGTAATGTTTTCTCGCTGCTGCTCACCTTCTGCTGTGCGGCCCGTTCCTAACAGGCCACAGACCAGTGCTGGGGTTTGGGGACCCCTGTTCTAACCAATGCCCCCTTTATTAAAAGGGTTTTTCACTTTAGCTAATGGAAACATCAAGTGTTGCAAGCTCTGTGTGAGCTACAGAGATGATTTCTTTTGAGAAGTTATTTTCCCTGCTTTGCATCATTTCTCAAATATATGTACTAATCAGCACTTAGCTGAAGATTGAAGACAGGAATCCAAGGCATTCTCTCTGTGCAGCAATCTGCTCTCTAGTCTGTCCTGTGATGTCACCACCCTGACTTCTTCAAACTTACTACAGGCTCTGCCTGGGTCCTCCCCACGTGCTTTGCAGTTCAAAATCTCAGGTGGTAAACCGGAGTAATCTTTGGGCTCAACTGTTTTATTTTCTCTCTCCCCGGGATCACTGTACCGTACTGCACTATATCCAGTGTTGAAGCTATAGTTGAAAATCGTTTTTCCATTTTTCCAGTTGCTTAAGGTGGAGGAGAAATCTGATTCCTATTACTCCAAGTTGGCCAGAAGCAGAAGTCTCCATTCAGTCTTTGTGGTCAGAAGGGAGAGTATGACAGAAGGCAGCTTCTTAGAATGGAAGATCCCTGGGCTAAGAATCAGAATTACCT